TCCGATCCCGGAGTCCCCGGCAGGAAGTGGTTAATAATCTGGTCAACACTGGACTACTTTAAAATACATGTAGGTCTACTTCGTGAGATTCATCAGTGAGCTGAATTCTTGCTTTTCAATCTTAACTGGTCTGGAGGTTTCAGCTGCATGATTAATCAAATTGCTCGTGAATTTTGCTGGTCAGGCTCTTAATCCATTTCAGTGCCACTGATGAGGTAAGCTAACTAGGAAACCATACAAGGATGCGCACTCAAATCAGGTGTGGTAACCTGATGAACATGGACATCATGCAGGTGAAACATTACGGTTCTGAGCAAGGTTCTTTGCAAATGCCTTTCACTGGGAAGTGGCTCTGGCGACTGGTGACTCATTTCCCGGTTGGGTGACGTACAATTTGTAAAATGGCCTTTCTTGAGCCTTGACACACATGTACCTTCACTGGGATCCAGGGTCATTCCCATCCCCACCAGGAACTGCCTCAGGGACTGGCTGCCACGCTGCCCGGTACCCACTGCCCCGATCTCCTGCGACATTCGCAGCACCATGTTCATCAGCATCTGGTCTGTCAACGGTTCCCCGCTTCGCCCCCCTTGCTCGGCAGGGTCTCTGGACGGTGTCCCCCCGGACGCCGGCCGGCTGCTTGACTGCTGTGCAGCTGCGTTGCGTGCTGGATGATATTTGAATTAGGATTTTAACATTCAACTGCCTAAGTAAATTAGCTTTTAAAAAAGCGATCACTACAAATCACATTGTTGCAAGGCTGTCTTGAATACTCTATTATCATTGGTGCAGAATGATAACATGATCAGACGAGAAATGCATGTCGCCCTTACCTTTGGACATCACATCATGATATCATAGACTAATCTCCAACCCACAGTCCAAACCATAATTTAGGGACTGCTACAAATACTTCCACCATACGCTGACGCAGAGTCCCCATGCTCTAGCCAGTTTAGTGGTCTCATTAAGTACAGCATCACTGACTAATGCTGAAGCCTTGCTTTCGGTTCTTCCCGTGGGGCCCCAATGTTACAGTGGAAAGTCATTTGCAACAGGTTTCCGACTGTGTGTACATGAACATTGTAAATCAATCAGTCTGGATTCAAATGGGCCCTTACTCTGTAACGTCGCAGTTTTTACAAAGAGACAATTCTACCCATTTTTTCAAATTTCTAATTTTTGGCAAAATCGACTAGGCTTTGCACCGCCTACAACTTGGCGTAATCATTTTTTTTCATCAAATCTACTGACATCAGCCAAATACCTCTGTGGGAAAAATTCAACTAAACAGCATTTGCCGTTTTCACGAAGGGACAAATTTGTCTTCTCTAAGAATATCATTGGAAAAAAAAACCAAAACTCATTTTGCAGTTTTCACAAAGAGACAAATTTGGCTCCGGAAATGTATACAAATGTCACAATTTTGCACCTGGCGTGCACTGAGGCAGAAGTGCATACTGTACGGTTTATTGAAGGGACAAAAACGTCACACAAATTTCAGAGTTTTCACGAACAGACGCACCTGTTTGTTTACAAAATAAACAACTTTAATTGACTTCTATAAATATTATTTGGTAGTTTTGTGTCATGTCCGAAACCCTCTTTCATGGAAAAACATTGGTTAAGTCAAAGAAATGCTAAACAATGGGGAAATATATGTAAGCATTTGAAAAAGAGACCAACTTCAAATACAATTTTCCCGAAACCCAGGTGTCACTCTCTATGGAGACTTTCATCTCTTTGTGAAAACTGATAAGAGAGATGCATTAACTCATTGCTACCATAAAACTCCAATAGCACAAAGCTTCAAGTCTTCCTTCTGATGTTCCTTCTGTGCGTGTGTAATCTTGAGCATGATGATGGTTGCTGTACCTATTTATTATTGTTATCTGATTTTCAGAGATTTGGGGAGAATGCTGAAACAATCACTAATGAACTTGCTTCACACAATGGAAGAAAACACTCAGCAGAGAAACTAGCATTTTTTCCCCCAGTGAATGGAAAGAGTGGTGTCTGTCAACCCTTGCAATTTTTCACTTCAAAAAGCACCAGTACCGAGCAGCTGTTCACCATTAAAAAGCACAAATTTCTACCTTGCTGAGTGGCTTGCTGAGATCCATGGACAACCTGCACAAAGGGCTGCTGTGGTTGGTTGAGCAGGGCACCAACAAGTCCCCCTATCACGTCAGATAAACCAGCCAATTCGCCATCTGCTGCCATCGGCTGAAATTTGGCAGGAAAACCAAAAGAAGACAATAGTGAGGAACAATTCTAAGGCCTTGGCTCCAGAAGAGCCCAGAGGAGAGGGCCAGATCCACTACCCTTGCATATTTTTTTTCTGATAATGCCCCAAAACATCGAAACTCTGAGGTTCCTTTTTAGTGATGCCTTCTGGCCTTTCTGACACCAATTCTACGAAAACTGGACAACCCCCATTCTCATGCAATGCCCATTTCCTCAAGACAAGTCCACCAAGCCACTTAACGCGCATGAGCATCATTATATAAATGCCACAAAACAAAAAATTCTGTCCGATTGAATTGAAACTTATCCGGATTTACGTGAAACAAATGTCGTCACACGCAAAGCACTGGCCATCACACAGACAAAATCGGGGGGGGGGATATGTCCAAAAAGCTAGCTCTTTCAGCATGATGTGAAAACAAGTCGACATTTCACAACATTTCTACTCTGCAACGACTAGCTTTGAAAAACATTTCATTCTAGGGTTGTATCCTCCTACGTCGACGAGTCTAAATAAGGGTGGGAACGTTGGTAAAATATTTTTTGCTCTACATTTTGATTGCACCTCAAATAGATGTCTACATTTGCCCTTCGAATTTGAAACTATTTTAAAGTATCATTACAGGATACAAGAAAGATACCATACAAGAAAGTATTATTGCGTTACTTGATGAATCAATTGATGAATTAATTATTCAGTTACATTTTTCAGTTACATTTTTCAGTTCCATTTTTGTGCCCCGTTAATTAGAAACCACTTTGTGAGAAAGATGACTTCCCTTCAGTTGGTGGAAGAAAATTGCTACAGACTTCCTCTGCCCACAATCGCATGCATTCTCAACAATTTCCTGCCGGGTGCTTTTAAAAATGCAGTGCCTACATATTGGTGATTTTTCAATATCTTTGGTTTTCAAAAATCTTCAAAAATTCATATCTGTTTTTACGGAACACCTAAACCCCATCGAGTGACTGGCTGGTGGCTACTCTAATCTGACACACAACATCTGTTGATGCCAGAGTATTTCAGCTAGGCCTGCCGCCTTTTAAAAAGGCCCAGATTGTGCAATGTTACATTAGTTTCTTTTGTTCTCAAAACTGACACAGTGCACTGCTTGCCTCTTTTCAATAGGGGCCAGATTAGCATGCAGCGGTGCTGTGTGCCTCATCGCTAGAGTGCTTTTGTCCCCGGTAGTAATCCGCTCACGCTGAATGCCACGAACAGTGGTACAATCTTCCAAAACAATGACAGATTTCCTCCGCTACTGACAACTGAAAAATTGTTGGCAATTCCCAGCAGCTCAGTCTTTTGTTACATGGCCCACCTCTTTTGTCCAATTTTGGGCACCCGGCTACAAACCCAAGATACCCGAAACTGGGCTCCCTGGCAGCAAGTGGTTAATTACCACTTCCTCCTGTAATAAGCCTTTTGCGAGTTAACTTCAACCCAAATCTGGTACACTGAGTTCTTTAAATTCACCTGAACATAACAACTTGAATCATCCTTACTAAAACCACTGTTGCTATACCTCGTGATTCGGGGCAAGCTTTTGCTTAGTTACATAAGAGACACCTTGCAACAATACACTGTTCTCAATGGTGAAGAAGGGCACAGAGGAACCAGTCCATTCCAGAGATGGTGGTTGCTATGCGAAAGCTTGCCCCGAATCACAAGGTATAGCAACAGTGTCTTTAGTCTGGGGAATTCAAATTGTTATGTTTATGTGCAGCAAGATAACTCAGTGCACCAGATTTTATTCAAATTTAACTCGCAAATGGCTTATTGGTGCTAAATGTGCTGTTGGATGAACAGATACATAAATAAAACACTGGAAGCTAGTTCTATTGAACAATGCCACGGTTGGATCTTATGGTAACTGGCAATCACGGACTCCTGGAAGAGTTGACCTGTCAGATTTTGTTACACTGGGCAGAAAAGCCACTTTGACAAATGAAGCAGACCGATGTGTCTGGCAGGGTTTCTAGCAGGCATACCCTGGAGGGTTAGGGTTAATCGATCGACGAAAAATCAAAGAACTTGCAGGCCCTCAAAACAACAACAATAAACAGCAATTTACGGCAGACGTCGACTACACCTTGTAAATTGAACATGTTCATTTCTAACCTGAGGTATTCCATCACTATGGGCTGCGTCTCCTTGTGGGTCACCCCTTGGATTTCTATCGGCGGCATTCTCTCCCGGCCCTGCTGTGCCCGTTCCCGCATCCTGCCGGGTGGCAGCGCCTGCCCTTCCCCTGCCGGAGGGGCCGACGGGCATGGCATAAGTGGCGACATGGCGAGAATTGCAGGGCAAGAGGGGGTCCCAGGTGGGGCGGGACTGCAGCGGGTTGAAGAAGGCCATGGGGGGCGGCCCCTGCCGGGACTGGCTCTGGGACTGGGGGGAAGGGGTGGACTGGGGGTTCTGCTGGGCCCGCGGGGAAGACGTCGTCGGGGTAGACGAGGTGTTGGTCGGTCCTGGAACAGAGATGTCACAAACAATATCAGACATGCTCATGGAAGGAAGCCCAACTTAAAAAAACACAACAACACCCCATTCGTAAGTTCTCCTAGCTTTCAGCTATGAGCCTCTGTAGACCTGCCCTAACTTCTGCAGTTATTTGTCAATGCTGAGCCTCTCTCCTGTATGAACGAGCATATCCCAATATATGAGACACAGGAACAGTACCCCGTTAGATTCCCAGCAGAAATGTGTCTACCAAATGAATAAGTCTGCATGCCAGATACTGTTCAACCCAGGCATGCTTTCTCTGTGACCTTTTTGTCGCCGATTTTAGAGATTCCAGTTTGACTATAAATTTTGCCCTCACAAAATTCAAAATTCTTTGAGTGATCCCTGTTCACCACTTCCCCAGGTTGTATCGTGTTATTAGGGTGTGATCCCTGGCTACATGGTGTTTCAGGTTTAATGACTACTGGCTATTAAACGTCCCCCGAAGAGAGATATTGACAAATGGGAAGAGCCACCAACATAGGACTGGATAGTTCAGCTGGTAGAGCACTGGTACGGTGTTCCAGAGGCAGGTTCAAATCCCGCTCCAGTCAAGTTCTTTGTTCGTCTTTATAATCAAAACTCAAAGCTGCACGATAAAAAGCCAAAGACGGGGGTCCGCTCATGTAGTCTGTTCATCATGTTCATTACCAGGCCTACAAGTGGTTCAGATGCTAGGGCATGGGCCTCAGTTGGAGACAGAACTTTGCAAAAGGTGGTCAAGACCCACACACCCAGCAGCATGAATGCTCTCACCGGCGTGATTTGCAGGGAACTGGGCCATCTGCTGCATCTGTTGCTGGCCCACCATCTGAGCCATGACCTGCAGCAGTCCGGCCGGGGGTATGCTGCCTGGGCTCAGCCCCACCTGGTGGATGTGAACCTGAGGTCCTGGCGGCGACAAGGAAACAAAACAGATCCTGTCATCAGAGGAGCATTTTTTGTGAGGGGCCAGGCATCAGTTGGTAGTGGTTTACGACATCAAACACATTGAGAAGAAATGTCATCTTTTGATCAAAATCTTCTGTGTCTCACCACTGCTACCCTGTTTATTCACATTCTGGAAGAAAGTCCCTTTTTTGGGGGGTTCTCTTGTTTTCTAGATGACAAAAATATTGTCTGCTCCCTTTTCTGGTCACAGTCACAAACAAAAAAAATGCCCAGGACTCAGAGCGCTCATTTTGGAAGAATACGCAGAGGTGTAATTCAAGTGAAATGTCCTTTCCTTGTGTTTTTAATCGAACACAGATGAGATGCAGTTGTTTAGAATTTCCTCCTTGTTCAGTCCGATCGTGCATCACAAACGCACAAACAAACGGGTTTAGATGAAATATTTAGCAAGTGTTTCACGCTGTCACCGGGCAAGCAATGCACACAAGCATGATGTGAAGAAAACGGCGTTCTTCTCATGTGATCCAAACACAACTATTAACCACTTGCTGCCGGGGGTAGCTATCAATGTTGTTGATAATGGTCCGGGATAATTATCATTTTTTTCTGTTTTTAAAATTCTTTAAAAATTCCTATCTTCATTTACTGGACACTTACAAACACATGCCACTCTAGCCTGACAGACAAAATTTATTGACACCTAAGTATTTCAGCAAGACCTGCAACCTTGTAAAAAGAGCCCAGATTGTGTGGTGTTATATGGTTTCTTTTGTTCACGAACCTGGCTCAGTGCTCTGCTGACCTCTTTTCAAATAGGGGCCAGATTAGCATGCAGCGGTGCTGTGTAGCTCATTGCTGCGGTGGTGGAGCACTTTTCTCCCAAGTGGTAATCCGCTCGCTCTAAATGCCCCAAACCGTGGTACACTATTTCAAAACAAGGCTGGATTATCTCCACTTTTGAGAGTGAAAAAATGTTGGTAATGCCCAGCAGCCTGGTCTTTTGTTCCGAGTACGGTCTTTTGTTACAAGGCCCTGTTCCCTTTGTCCGAGTTCGGAGACCCTGGCCACGCATATAAAGCATACATGTCCGGATCTGGAATCCCTGGCAGGAAGTGGTTAAACCTACAAATGGTTCGGGAGCCAGGAAAAAATTGAAAAACAAAAAATCCCAAAAATCAAAGATCACGTAAAATGGCCAATCAAAACCTCTCCAATGCCTTTCCATGAAGAAAACATTCCTGACTTTTGTCATGTTTGTTGGCAAATCATCAGCAAAGCTGTGACGACCTCTGTTGAAGACATTTAAATATTTGTAACAATGACACTTTTCATATTATTAGTATAAATCTATCTACTGCGCCACTTTGTTTTCCGCTGCGGGTCATCAAGAAACAGGCATACAGCTGGGGACTTTTAAAACAAAGGAGGAAATTCCAAGCTACACAAAACTTAACTTAAAGTTTCTTCAATTTGTCATTAAAATTATCAATGACAAACAGAAAAGAAATGCCAGGAAATCGGCTGATCTGAGTAAGGGCTGCTTGCCTGACAAAACTGTTCAACTTTTCCTTGACCGTATGGTCCCATTGTAACAGTTCTCTGGATATTTTATCAATAATGATGGGGGTCGTGAGCCTATCCAGCTGGCCTTACCTTGTGACTGGCCACCATGATTCCCTGCTTGCCTTCTCTCCGTCTGAGCAGCGCCGGTCCCCTGCTGCGTGGTGCTGCGGCTGCCGGTGCCCGCCGGCTGACCGGACGCTGACGAGACCGGCATGGCCATGTAGCCCGGGCCACCGGCCCGGGGCGTGAGGACGAAGGTCTGCTGGTTGGTCAGGGTGACCGAGGCGTTGGTCAGCACGGGCGCGCCTTGCTGCTCGCGGGGCTGGGTCTGGGTGAAGCTGGTGGCGCTGGACCGGGTCGAGGCCCGCCGGCTGGAGTCGCTGCTCGCAGGCGTCGGCTGCTGCTGCTGCTGCTGCTGCTGGTTGGATGCCGAAGTGGTGGCTCGGGCAGATTGGGGCGGAGCTTGTTCTTGAGCAGAAGGGGCTGAGCCCTGAGCACCTTGACTGATGTTCACCTGTTAAGAACGTACATGTAATCACATTATCACTACACACTTAAATGACACAAGTAGATCATGATGATGCTGCTGTTTGAGTTGAAAACAAGAATGACTACTCGTATGCAATTGAAATTTTACTCCCTTTAAAAAACAGTAAGAATGATACATGTACCTTTTCAATATTTTTTGGCCCAATCCATTAGATTCCTACATAAAATCAAGCCCTAAATAATCCAACAGTACCCCGTGGTATGCAATCCACTCACAAGTACCCAACCGATGATGAAAACCATGACAGGTTTCAGACAGTGGCATGCCACGACTGCTATGCACCCGTTCCTAGTGAGTTCCTCTGCAACAATATTATTTTTGCACATTCTGAGGAAAGAAATGCCCGTTAGAACTACACTGCACACACACAAGAGAGTCTAATCAGTTGTGTTACCACACCACAGAGGAAAAAGCACTGTGCTTCCGGTTCCACAGGTACTTACCTCAGAGAACTGAAGTGAGCGAAGGACTGACTAGGCTCATTCTAGGCCTGTTTGTTTTACACAGATCTGGATCTCAATAAGTGATCTTAATGCTGGTTTTGCACCATCCATGAGGCGAGTTTTGGTGTCCATAAACCAATGATGGATCACTGATCGTGATCCAGATCCATGTAATCTTGATCAGTGATCTTAATGCTGGTTTTGCACCATCCATGAGGTGAGTTTTGGTGTCCGTAAACCAATGATGGATCACTGATCGTGATCAAAATCCATGTAATCTCGATCAGTAATCC